TGAAGCATACTACTGCTATCGTTGCCTGCAAAAATTGTCACCTGAAAACAAAGGAATTGTCCATATATAAAATCTCTAAAGCCCAGACCAGGATAAGGCTGTTATTCTTTCAGCTGTGTCAGTTACTTCCAAACAGTAGTTATTGTAATTTAAAATAGTCACTTTCCACATGTGTTTATCAATGATTTGTTATTTCATCAGCAACAACGTATTCCAAGTTAGGAAGAATTGGTTTTAGTATGTCTCATAGGCTTCACTGATATATTACAGTTAAAAGATCACAGTTTTCCCTGTTAGCCGCTAGGCATCTGTAATCAGATCCATGTCCTTGAACTTTTGGCAAGATAAGAGAGGCAATGATTTCCTTACGGTAAGCACTCAGACGTGGTACCAGGATTAATGGAAGGAAAAGGAAACGGGTGAGTTGAATGAACAAGCAGGCCATACACACACCTAAAAGCTTATCAACGATCAACATAGCAGTGACCAAATTGACTTTGAGCCAAATACATGGCACACCCAGACAGCCACCTTCATGTTCTAAACATTGAGTTGAGGCATCTGGTCAGTGTGACCTCAGCTTACCCCTTCTCTTTCACTCTCCATCAGCATAATATTCACAGACAGCACGCATGTAGGCGCAAGCACAGATAAAGAAACCTAGATAGCTACAGCTAATTTCATTTTGACAGGGCCCTCTCATTACTGTGCCTCCAATTACACCCACACCCCTGAGTCTGCAGTGTAACAGAGCTCCAACAGTGAATAAGGCCATGATGATTATGATTGCTAATGATCATTGTCAGCTCAAGCATTTGAATAGAAATGTGATTCAGCTTGCTTCCTCTCTGTGGGACTGCACAATGAAGAATGGCGCATCATCAGTGAGAAACTTGTTTACATCCCTCAGATTATTAATTTATTCCTGAGCTCAGGTTTGTCTAAGGATGTGTGTCTGGTCTCCCTGCCAATCCGGGAGGAAACGAGGATCAGTGGTGCAATGCTGGAAAGAGCTTTGAAATGGCTGTATCTGATTTGAGCAGTTGGACAAAACACCACCTCCATAAACACTTATTATTTTCGCCAGCTCTATTTTTCTGCAAGAAAGTCATATCCATTTTTCCCTACTTATTGACCAAGTTTGGAACCTCCTCTTAGGGCTTGTTTTTCTCTACTTTCTTTGATATAAAGTGGGGAGGCTGTGGCTCAGTGGAATAGTGCGCTGAACTTAATGCGCTGAACTTTGGATCCCTGGGGGTTGTCCACAGTACTGAAGTTGCTTTGGATAAAAGTGTCTAACAAGTGACAATGTAGAGGTGTTTCAGTTATCTGTGTCAACCACAGCTTTTGACGGTATGAACACTGACAATATTAGTCATATATATTCAGTGTTTTCACTATCCTTGTGATCTTTTATTTTTGTTGCATTCCTGTTGATGGAATGCTGTGAATGCAGGGGTCACCTGAACAAAGATTTACTCAGTCTGCTGGAGTGAGCGTTTAAAGCTGAGACAGGAAATGAAAAAGATGTGCTGTCAGAGTGAATAAAGAAATAAAAACCATCAGGATGTGTGTGTCAGTGGGCTGTATTTTCTTCATTCTGTCTTTTTGTATCACATTCACTCAGTCTCCTGAAACCACACTCCATTACTCATCTATTTCTTTAATAACGGCAGATAAGGACAGAAAGGACAGAGCCCTTTTTAACGCTTATTTAATTACCAAAAGGTAGTGGCTTAAAATAAAGGCTTTTTATGTAATCCTTCAAGTTTTAAATGAGGAAATGTTAGGAAAGAAAAGGCAGCTCTCTGATCAGTAGCCTGCATTAAAATAGCTGCTGTCCTCGTTTTGCTCTTCCTGATGGCGATGTTGTAGAGCTCATCTAGGTTTGGGAAATGGGACAGCTCCTGTGCGTATCAAATCACACATTTAATGATTGAGAAAAATCCAGAGGTGGAAAGGAGCATCAAGCTATGTCTTATATGCTCTGTGGGTTCCCCATGGTCCAGCAGTGAACCAACGTTTTGGCCGCATATCCGAGGACCTGAAGCAAATCTTGCAAGCAGAATGCAAAATGCACTTTTTGATGTCTTTTATACATAAATAAAGATGTGTGTGGGGAACTCACGCAGCGTCAGAAAATAAAACCCTCTCTTTTTTCCTCCATACCAACATCTCTAAAAACGGGGGTACAATGGAGCTGATCCAGATTTGCGTCCGATATCACGTCATATCGGAAATGTGGACCCACGGCACTATCAGAAACATCGCTGTATCAGAAACAATGCCCGACGTATTTTGGACATAATATAGTCTCTGTTTACATTAGCAAGCACCGCTAACGCTCAGAGCTAACAATGTACTGGAGAGAGAATGTGTAAAAAGGCAGGAAATAAAAAAAGGAACTCACCTTGTGGTAAACCCGCGAGAGACAAAGCATTTGAGCTCCATACTGTTTCAGAAATAATCCTTGATGTGGTTTGGAACATGATATGGAATTTAATCACGGCAGCATTTAGATTATCTGCCGGTAGAATTCTTCAGGCACAAGCTCCCCCTCCTCTTTTGTTTTTGTTTTTCAAGCTAATGACCCCGAACCTGCAGTTCTCTAACAGGTATGAAATAGAGGGATATGAGGGATGTCTAAAATGCATGATCTGTTTGGTATTTTGAGCAAAACACATCATACAGTAGACATGTTTTTATATTTTTGTACATACTGAGACCCATAATATATGCCTAAAAATAGCATAACAGGAAAATGTACTTTTAAGTACGGAATCTTAAACTTAAATCCATTTTCAGGATAATATATAAATACAGTACCAGTCAAAAGTTTGGACACACCTTCTCATTCAATGGTTTTTGTTTATTTTAACTTGTTTCTACTTTGTAGATTAACCCTTTATAGGGACCCTTTTGCCTTGATGACAGCTTTGCTCACTCTTGGCGTCTCTCAGTTATCTTCATGAGGTCGTCATCTGGAATGGTTTTCAATGAAAATGTGGCCCTGTCAGGAGTCAATTTGTCGAATGTGTTTGAGACCATCAGTTGTGTTGAGCAGAGTTAGGGTTAGTGCACAGTGGAAAGCCCTATTTGACTACTGTTGTAATCCATATTATGGCAAGAACCACTCAACTCACTGAAGAGAAACGACAGCCCAGCATTACTTTTAAGAAATGAAGGCCAGTCGATCTGGAACATGTCAAGAACTTTGAATGTATCCTAAAGTGCAGTCGCAAAAACCATCGAACGCTATGATGAGACTGGCTCTCATGGCCAGGTATTTCCATCATAATAATAATAATATAATAATCATAATGCATTAGTTAAATTCAATTTTTCAATCAAAAAATATGAACCTGCAAAACAACGAGTGAGTAATCTTGTGAAATAAGTGTAGTGAGTGAAAGTAAAGTATTTGCTTTCAAAGTATAGTACTTATATATATACTTTTAGTGCAAAGTAGCATAAAAAGTGCATGTACTTTAAGTAAAGTGCACATACTTTAGAAATGTACTTAAGTGCAGTACTTGAGTATATGTACATAGTTACTTTCCACAACTCACATTTCCTACAGCAAACAAAGCTATTTTCAAGATTCAAGGAATCACTATAAGCTATAAGGGCTTTAGTTGGTTTGCAGTACAACAGGAACTATGAAGCAAATTGAGAGAAAGTGTGCTTGTTCTGCACAGCTGACTGCTCTGATGCCTGGTGTGGGTTCATGAATGCAAATGGGAGTTCTGTTTGTTTATGCTGTCTGAATCAAGCTAATTGGAGGCTAATTTAAATTTAATTTCTCATCCTGGAAAAGACATCCTCTTCTTATTAAATATATTAAGTGAATAAGGTTTTATGACCAACAAATAAAAAATTTGAACCATGACCAGAAATACTTCTTTCCTTTCAGTGTAGTTTTTATACTGAAATACTTTATATGAAATATAAAAGAATGTTAAGGTTTGATGCACATTGGTTGACTTTCAAACATACTTGTTGTAAATTGTAACTTTGAAAGATTCTCTATAAATTCTCTATTGCTGCATATCTTGCATACTGTACAGCAGACAGACAGTGAAGACACTATTTAAAGAGCGCTGGACTGGCTGTGTCTCAGTGTCTGAGAGGGAGAGCAGCTCCACTCAGGCTGTAAATCCTGTTATGTCACAGATGATCAGCGGGCCATGCAGCGGATGTAGAGCATGTGCAGCAGAAAGAGAGTTCACACAGTGACCATGAGGATTACATGCCCTGTAAAAGCACATCCTATTGGTCCGAGTGGGATAAGACGATTGTAATTCGAGTTGCTATTGGAGACGGTTTGATTAAATCTTGTTGGTTTGGAAGCAGTCCCATTTGTCCTACTTGGATCCCACTCATTGTTGACATCTTTGCGTGAGCAACAGGGGCAACACCCATTTTAATGTAAATCTGAAAAACATATTATAACCTATCCTTATCACCTATATATTTTGCATACATATAAAATACGATTATATTAACTTTTTTGTGGTTTATAAGAGCTCTACAGGGAGAAAAAAGCAACAATCTGCTATAGGTTTCATTTTTTTGGAATAGGCCTAGTGATGTTTGAAATGACTTGATTCTATAATGATATTTGACTTATTGATCCTCTTAGTCAGAACTTTTCTCAATGCTCTGAATGCTTTTAACCTGGAAAATATGTGAAGAAGATTTCAAATGAGAAATTGTTTTAATACAACCTCTCCATACTGGTTTGATCAGCTCAGATTGTATTACAACTACTATTTTATTAAAGGGGCCCTTTTATGCTTTTCAGGCTTTTCCCTCTCCTGCAGTGTGTTCTAGAGGCTCTTGTGCATGTAAATAGTCTGCAAAGAGCAGACTGTGCTCTGATTTCAGACAGAGGGTGAAAATGAGCATTATATGGCCCCTTACACCTTCATTTATTCAGGGGAAGTTTACTGAGAGTAATGCTCACCTCTTCAGGAACGCTCTGAGTCCAGGTGTGATAGATACATATTTTTTGCTCCACAGATCACCAGAAGTTGGAGCGAGAGGCCCGGATCTGCCGCCTGCTAAAGCACCCCAACATTGGTAACTAGTACTCCCTTTATCTTTACTATATCTCTTCCTTTCTTTCCTCTCATGATGTCTCAAAAATTGTTTAATATATATCCATATGTTTCAGCTTAGCCCTGAAGACAGTTTTGTGGGTTAGCCCTCAAGAGGGTTTTGAATTGAAACTTACTATATCCATAGTCAATTTCATCCTGTTCTCCAGGGTTTTTCAACCTTTTTTCAGCCGTGAGTAAAATAGTTACGACGCGAGGAGCGTGCACACACACACGGTTGTGGCTGGTCTCAAATGAAATGTAACCACTGCAAATTAACACAGAATTCTTAGAGAAGAATCAGCAGGACAGTGAGTAAACCAGTTTACATTAATATACGACTGAATGTGGGGATTCTTTCAGTACTGCGGCCTACAGCTGCTGTATCGTATAACATCTCTTTCACTTCATGGAACCCCTGTAGCATGTAAAGTCAGAAACAATCATGAACCAGCAGCCTCTGAGAGGTTTCACCAGAGTGTAGGGCCGCTAACGCACGGCCACTTTGACCTCATCAGATGTGCTAAAAACCGCAGCTGCTACAGTCTGAACTCTACACACATCTGATGTTTGGTTATCACTTCATATTCTGGTTTTATGAAGGAGTCGTCCGGTCAGCTGGGCGCATATAGGTTCTATAGAAGTGTGTTCTTTGACAACAGTGGACTTGAGCATGTACAAAATGCGGTATGTGTACGGCCACTTATGTGAAGAACTGCAAATATTATTTATCCGAAAACAAATGGAATATCGACCTGCGCTTTGGCAGTGATTCCCCCGGGAACGCGGAAGCCTTAATCTGAACTCATAATATTATCAAAGACTTTCTTGGCGAGTAAGATCCAGAATTTAGCACCGTCGCCTCTCAGTCTGCAACTGAAATGGTGATGTTTCATTTAGAGATGACTTTAAAGCTTGTTGGGACCATGGCACTGTTGGATAGCTTTTACACACTCCAAGCAGAACGGAGCAGCTGCGCTCGGACCCCGGTGAGAGTTAATCCAAACAAAAGATAACCTCTGCTGAATCCCCTCCAGCTCACCGTTTCCACCTTCTTTTGACCACCTCTCATACTAGGCTCTTCATCTGGGTTAGAAGTTTGTCCAGGACTCAACTCATAGTCTGTGTTAATCACTTCGGGTTTATTTAAATTACTTTTTGGGTGTCTTAACCTATAATAATATATGATTATGTATTAAGTGATTTATTTGTTGTATTAATAATATAGTGTTAAATAAATGTATTGCCTACAAAATGAAGTGTATATAAGTAGCGTAATGTGAAAATATTCAAGCACAAGTATCTGCATTTTTTTACTAAATGAACATCACTGAAGAAAAGTGAATACTGGTTGATTCCAGAATGAATCTGAAATTATATATTGATTACTCGCAGCATCTCTCCAGCCTGCCTCTCTTCACAGTCACTGCTAGCAGATAGTGTGTCATTACTATTCCATTCATACTTCATTCATCGGGAAAGCCCTCATTATTTCAAGGTTGTCATGGTGCTGATGGATCTCAGATGTCAATCAGGAGACTCGCTAACGGAGACAGGGCGTCTCTACAGGGGGAGGTCCCTTTGAAATCTTCTCACCCATCCTCTCATGTGATGTATTCCATCATAAGAAGTCAATCGTTGTGTGTTATTAGAGCCAAAATCAATTGTATCTGAGTGTCCAAATGTGGCGAAAATGTTCATGTTCACTAACCTTACTGGGCTAGAATGGGGTTCCAATAGGATAATATTAGGGTCACAACAGAATCAAATCCAGGCATCGGGTCTAACTTCTTTTGAACATATCTTATTTTTCACAAACTGATTATTGCAGGGAACCTAATTCAAATTACACAATTTAGCTTGAATCTTTCAAATGATGAATGGAAACATGTAATTTCCTTGAAAGCCCCGGGCACTTTATCCAGAAACAGCAACGTTCTGATGTCTAAAGTTCTGAACCACACTGAGAGAAGACCCCTGCCCCCTGAGTTTTTCTGCTGCCTGTAGATCGACGTCCTGAATAACTCTTTCCTTCCTCCCTATAGTGCGGCTCCATGACAGCATCTCAGAGGAAGGATTCCACTATCTGGTCTTTGACTTGTAAGTGCAGGGTTTTTTATTTCTCACATCACATTAATTCCCCTTTTTAGGAACCTTTTTTATAATTATTATTATATATCTTTTAAGTATACAAATAAATTAATTTCAAAAAGGGAAGATATGCCAGATTATAACTAAAAGATAACTTCCACCATGCATTCCCTGGGCAGGTAGGCTACACACATAACCTAGTGCCTATCACACTAACAATTAGAACAGATCAAATAAAGATGTATACATATAATTAGTACTTTAGTCATAAATAACTACAACTTTACAATGAATCTCCAATTACAGTAATATTAAAGGTCCCATGTCATGGCCATTTCAACTGAACATAATTCCATTGTTGAGGTCTATTGGAACAGGGGTTCCCAAACTTTTCAGCCCACGACCCCCAAAATAACAGTGCCAGAGACTGGCGACCCCCTGTCGACGGGGGGGGGGGGGGGGGCGGGCGCTGCGCTAGTGGGCTGTCAAAGAAAAAATGTCTATTGCGAACGTTATTATTACATAATAATTAAATAATGTATAAAAATATTTATCAATTTTGTTTTATTTTTTTTATTTTCCATCTAATTTTGTAATTCATCTCGGCGACCCCCATTCGGGAACCCTGTACTAGAATAGTTCCATATGTGTGTTGCTGCAATGTTCCAAACTCCACATTGGTTTCTCAAACGGGCATCTCT